ACACATGTACTAAAATCCCTTCCACTATTCTGTATTGCAACCACCGTATGTGCACATGAGAATCCATTCAATTGCCACTAAAAACATGAACATGAACGCTTACCAATGTCTACCAACACCATTGGAAATGAATGGACCTCGTATATATCTTCATTTTCCTGGCTAACAATCCATGTGCAACCATTGGAGTACGTCTCCCTAATACAGCTTTCCATTTTTGGACAAAGTAACCCATTCCAATTAGTAGCTAATAATTTACACTTAGCCCTCATAGTCATTATCTGATTTCTGATTGTATCAACCAACCTTGTGATTAGGTAGTTACGGGCATCAAGTATCCATTTATTAAACGATTCTGCAGCGTTCGAGGTCATCTCCCCATACTGTTTGCCCTTGTTGACATTATGAAAACATAATGAAAATGTTATCACATATTGGGTACTTTCAATGTTAGCACACGTAAGTATCATACAAACCTGAAATATGCGTTGGCCCAATGGTTCGGTGGCATATCTTTGAAGAAATTATTTATTCCAGATCATTCTAATCTTTTTAGCTTGGTCAAATGGTGCTGAAACGAAGCCTCAGTTAGAGCATATGCACATTTACGCAACTTGGCCGTTAAACCAAAACGGACACGGTTGTCAACCCATCATAATTTGTCCTTCAAATTTGCTTGGAGATGTTGTAAGCAATACGCATGGTATGCAGATGGGAATATAGTAAGCAAGGATTCGAGCAACCCAGCATTACGATCAGATACAAAAGTTAATGTGCAAGCACTACTGACAACGTTTGTCAGATGCTGTAAAAACCAAGTCCAATTTGTAGTCGTTTTGGAGTCAATAATAGCAAAAGCTAATGGGAATAAACCTGACAGATTTGACAAATTTTACATTAGATGTGTAATATTTTTAACAAAGTTTACGTTCACATTAATAATTATTCACAATTCAAATTGCATCATGCACAATGATATGAAAATAACATTAAATTGGAAACAATCTTACCATTGGAGATCACCCACTACTATAGTGGACTAATAAAAAATGTTTAGTCGCAATGTGATGCGTTACTATATGGAATTTTGAAGTAATCATCGTAAGACACGTACTTTTGTTACCATTCTTCCCCGTCGTTGCAAGCAAATTGCCTTTAAATCTCCCTTTCAAAAAAGTGCCATCAAGAAACAATAATGGGCGGATATGGTTGAATCCGTCAATGCAAAATTTGAATGATATGAAGAACCGCTTAAATCGGCCGGTTGACTGCTCGAAATCCAAGTTGACATAACTCCCAAGGTTGTACTGCATAACTACATCCGCGTACCACCTTAGTTCATCGAATGAAACATGATAGTCACCATACACTTCGCCTCTTGCCTTTTCCACACCTAACTAGACTATGTGGTAACTAACATTCAGTCCGTACTCTTGTTTTAGGTCAAACACGACGTCAGTGGGACGTGTAAATGGCTTATCACGTAACTGATCACCAATAACATTGCAAACCAATTCAGAGTTAAGTTTACTATTTTTCCCAGTGCGAACAACAGCACCACAATTATGCAAGTTGTTCAACCTCTTCAAGTAAAAGTATCCATTGCATGTTTGAACCCTTCCATGTATCAACCATGTACACCCTTTTTACTTTCGCAATGTGCACACAGCCGTGACCTACACTGAATCGTTTTTCACGAATTTGAAGTCAAACCCACACTCAATCGCATATTTAGACAGAACCAAACAGAAAGCAACAACACCCCCTTCGAAACATTAGCCTACGTGACTAATGTCGTGTGACCAATCAACTGTCATCAACGTTTTCTCACTGTGGCGACAATAATTGGACAACAAATCTACATTAGTTTCGGGACCCGGTAATTATTCAATGTTAGAATCCATTTGATTTGCGGATATAGTCCCACCAAATTGATTACCTCGAATCAAATCATCCACCTCATTTTGCGAGTCAATCGCAACGTTGATATGGGTAACGCCAATGGACCTTGCAATGGAAAACATATTTTCCATGTCCACATCATTACTCATTATGAATTGGTTCTCGTGACACGATAATTTATAAGATATGGAAATCAATGATGGTATCACATCCACGCACCTATCACATAAATTTTCTACCAATTGTTTGAATGTCAATCCATTAACATCGCTGATAGCAACAGTGGATGAACTGAAGGCGCAAAATAGCATGATGTCCATATCCTGTGCAACAAAATAAATGAAATATTAACCATGTCACGACATTCTACAAAAAATCAAAAAAACAAGGCATGGAAGATATGTGATATGTAATCAAATGTGAGCGCAGTAACATCAACGTGGTTCAACCCACATTCAATCACAATCAATCATAAGAAATTTTACATCCGAACAATAACAATCCAAATTGAATAATATATTATGAAAAGTAAGAGTAACATTAAAATACATTCCAATAATTTCCATCAACCAACAACATTGTCACATTCAATTGAAAAAAATAGAAACCATAGAGTTTGCAAAACGTAATGTGACACATATGTCCATAGTAAATACAACAATGGGACAACACAATACAAAAACCATGCTCATATCTATATATATGTGAGTTACATTCACATACATTCCAATACTTTCCACAAACAAGCAATATTGTGACATTGAAATGGAAAAAATAGAAACCCAATAAGTTTGTGATCTGTAATGTGACACATATGTTTTCAAAAAGTACAACAATTGCAAAACACAAACTAAATACAAACGAACGTAACACAGACAAAAAATGACAAACATGGCAGGTGTGGTTTAACATTACATCCTAAACGTAACGACCTTCGTGGCTAACGGAATTGTGTCAATGTATGGCTGTACCATTTCGCACAACCCAGCAACATTCTCACATTCTCACTTTCTAATTTAATAAACGAACGTAATGTACTTTTACGAAACGTAATATGACATGCATGTAAACATGACAATACAATAACGTTATCACAAAAGTTGATGCGTGATTACCATTACAAAGTGTGCCAATGGATGGCTATACCGGATTGCGAAATCCATATGATATATAAGGACATTGAAAACAAAACAATTGGGAAAAACATAGAGCAACACTCACCAATTGAAGAAGTAGACAACGTTATCTTCTTCCCTCAAACAATCTGAGTCCAGATCGGCAAGATCAAACAACCAAACCATCCAAACCAGTAACATTTTGAAAACTCACCAGCCTCTGCAATCATGGCGTAGATCATGACACTAAACAATTTGAAAACAATACGGTTAATAACTTATAACATGGAAACATATATAAAGGGTATAATAGTACACTAATACCATTTAAACACAATTTATAGGACCTTGTGGAACACTTTCTAATTTAAATAAGATTTCAAACTCTATAAGAAATTTCACAGGACTTTACATTACATAAGTCTCCCTAATAAGATTTATAAATAATTTAAGTAATTTTTTTAATTTTTAGACACACTTAACAGAAATACATTTAAAAAGTATAATATTTGTGAATTTTTTTAAAAAAAAATTTACTAAATGCCAAAAATACAAAAAAAAATATGAAAATTCAATATATTTGTATTTTTGTATATTTATTAATTTTTAAAATATTTTTTCATAAATATTTTACTATTTAGATACATCTAAGTAAAGTGCATCTAAAAAAAATAAAAAAAAATTATTTAAAATTTTAAAATATTCACTAAAAATATAAAAAATAAAAAAAACTTAATTTTTAAAAAATTAAATTTTAAAGACCAAAATCAAACCCACAAAATCAAAATCAAAACAAAATAAAAGCCCAAAATCAAAACCAAACCCAACCCAAGATCAAAATCAGTCGAGTAATTGGCTTCTTCCAGGTGTCCATTTTTGCAGAGGAAGTTCAAATGTGTTTAAATAGTGATATTTTGAAAAATTGATAAAAAGTTAATTTTTAATTTTTTTAGTTAAAAAAATTAATTTTTTAAATAATAACTTAAGTAAAAAAATTAATTTTTTTAATTAAAAAAATCAAAAATTAATTTTTTACTAACTTATTAGACCGAGCTACAACAACAGAGCAAGCTTTTGAAATCAACCGAAAAAAGCTCGATTTTGACATAAACAAGCAAATTAAATTACCTGTACGAGGAACAAGGACAAAGGTCAATCTTGACTACATCGCCCAACCCTATTCCTCCTCCATATCATCCGATCGCTGCAAATTTTTCATAAATTCAACGCGTGAAAGGTTGACTTTTAACTTAAGGTTTCATTACTTTTTATTTTAAGATATTTACTTCTTCTTCCGTTCCAAAATAATTATTCATTTTGCAGAATTTAACCTTTTTTTTATAATATAATTATTAATTTTAAAAAAATTAATTATTTAAAATTATTTTTTGATAGTATATTTTTTAGAGAATATCAATATCATAATTATACTTTTTATGTTATTAATGTATTTAAAAGAAGGGTAAAATAAGAATTTGTATTATTTTTTTACTTGATTTTTGAAAAGGAACTAATAATTTAGAACAATGAAAAATGAGATAAGGAACTAATATTTTGAGACAAAGAAAGTAAGAAATCTTATCTCACAAATAACTATTTTAATTAGGCCTCGTTTGGGGAGTGGTTATTTTAGTCAAAAAAATCAAAAAGCCAACTAAACTAGTCACATCACCTCTCTACTTTTTTGCATATCTTTTCGTAAAAAGTCAAAAAATTACTAAAATAGTCTGTTTCCAAATGAGGCCTTAGTCTCAAATTTTATTTATTTATTTATTAAGTCTTATTAGTAGAAAATTTGTTTTTGTATTCTTATTTTTTATTTTGATAATATTTTAGTGAATAATTATATTTATTTATTAATGTAACAAGTATAATATGAGATATTAATATAACAGATATTAATGTAACATTTTCACTTTTTTCATACATACAATGTGACACATATATGTATGTATGTGTATGCATACCTCTGTTGGAGTGAATTCTAGTTCTAGGGTTTCGGAGGAACCGTTTGGTGGTGAGGTGGCGGCGGGGAACGGAAGAGGTTAATCACATCACGTCGGTGCAGAGAAGGAAGCCCGGCAAACCTAACAGAAAAAAGTACTCGATCCATCTCATCTCGTGGTGAGGATTTTATAGCATCTAAATTGGGTCGACCCGGAATGTTGAATCGGGTTTGGATACCCTCGTGTTGGGTCGGGTTCTTAGTTTAATAAGCTGAAGAAGAAGTCTGCGCTCTGGTCAAGACTCTTCCGAACGCGGTGGTCGATCGATCGATCCATCCATCCATCCATCTCTAGAGAGAGAGAGAACGGGACGAACTCAAGAGTCGGAATTCGCTCGAAACCGTACCGTATCCGAATTCAACTCATGCCTGCCGCCGAGTTCTTCCCCGGATAAGTGAAATGACGTCGTCGTTGACCTTATCGGCGGTGGACTCAATCCAAGCCTCATTATCCGAAATCTGCGCCACCGACGACGACCACTCCTACTGCTGGGAAAACCCTAGGCGGTTCTCCGGCTACGCGAAACGACTCCGGTCGGTCTTGAACCAGTTGCTCCGGTCTTCTTCCTCGCCGGAAAATCTGCCTCCGTCGGTCCAGACCTCGCTCAAGGGGACCTCCGCAGATCTGACAAAGGCGGCCGAGATTCTGTCGGTGTATCGGAACAAGAGCAAGATCTTCGTCCTCATCAACTGTCAGTCTTTGTCTTCTTCTCTCCAGGACCACACTGTCGCAATTGGAGGATGGCTGTCTTTGCTCGATTCTGCTCTTCCCGAGATCCCCGATCTTCGCAAGAAGGTCTCCGATCTTTCCAGAGACATGAAGCAAGCTCAATTTAGAGTATCTCTCTCTCTCTCTCTCTCCCCCCCCCCCCCTATATATATGTATGTATATGTGTGTGTGTGTGTGTGATACTCTGTGATGGTGTAGGTGACAGAGAATGAAGAGAGAGTGTACTGTACATTACAGAAAGAAGGACAAGGAAGGCAAACCAGCAAAGCTGTACAAAGTGCTATAATCATGGATTTGGCGCGAGCTCTCGGAATTGACTCCAATGATCATGCGGAGTTATCGGAACAGGTTAAGCTCTTGAAGAACGATCTAACCCGCTCCAATTCAGTTTCAGAGAGGCGAATTTTGATGTCTCTGGAGAAAATTATGGACAATTGGTCTATGGAGCCCAACATTTTGTCTCACAGTTTCAATCTAGATTTCGATGACGATACTCAAATTGCCCCATTCAAAAACTTCCTTTGCCCATTGACTAAGGAGGTGATGAAGAATCCGGTAGTTTTGGAATCGTCTCAGACTTACGAAAGGACCGCCATTGAGTACTGGTTCGAGCGCTGTATAGACGATTGTCGCGATCCGACTTGTCCTGTAACCGGACAGGTTCTCAACTCTTTGGAGCTGAAACCAAACATTGGGTTGGCTGGAGCCATTGAAGAGTGGATTAATAGGAATGTTGAGATTCAGATTAAGTCGGCTGTACAGTGTCTTAGTGAGGAGTCACCTTCGGTGGATTGCGTGGAACAAGTTTTGGATAACATGTATAGGATTTCAGAAGAGCATCCCTCTAGCAGATACAGAGTGAGGAATGCTGGGATAGTTGTTCTCATGGTTAAAGTGCTCAAGAACTGTTCAAAGAGTATTGGATCACAATTCAGAAGCAAAGCTCTTATGGCTCTGCATAGCATGTCCAAGGATGAAGAAAGTAAGGTGAGTTGGAATAGAAGTTGGAATACTCTTAAACATTAGCCATTATTGTTTTTTATTATCTAAATTTGGTACATAATTTTATGTTGCTTATGGAAATTTAATTTTTTTTTTGGACTAGTGTTTCTGGAATTTCTTTGTTTACATGATATCACAGTAATTCTATTTTTGATCCCACCTAGATGACTAAACATGTTTTGGACCTTCTTTATCTCTGGATATCCATAAGAACTCAAGCTTGTTAAGTGTTCTTCTAAAGTCAGCAAGTCCTCTTTGTGTTGCAAAGTTTATATTCCATTTTCATTAAAAAGTGGTGTATGAAATAAGAGATCTATCAGACTTATGATGTGGGTGTCCTCTGTATGTTAGGGGAAGATACTGTTGATAAACTTGCCATGCTTTTTGTGGTGCCAGAAGAATTGTTGAGAAAATTTAGTAAGATGGTTTTGATGTGCTGTAAATAATTGATGTCAGAAACGATTGTTAGTAGTAGAATATTATGGTTTAAATTGGTGCCATCAATCATGCCCGTCCTGCTGATTGGTTGTCGACAAAAAAAACTCAGTCCAAGAGTTATTAGTCCAAAGCTCAGGTTTCTTTGGGCCTTAAGTGGTGTTTTATGTACCTGCTAGACTGCTAGTGCAGAGACAAGGGATAAATAGATAACTGGGAGAGTGAATAGAGCATATGGAGAATGAATAACAGTCATGAGGGATGACAAGGAGAGAAAAAGCTGCTCAACAAGGATCGGATGAGGTTTAGGATGCATTTGACTTGTGTTTAGCCTTTTATAGAGTATAATGAGTGGTCTGTGCAACATCTACATGAGGTCTAAGTTGACCCTGAAGAGTGTTTCATTGCTTGCTGTCTAGAAAACTTTCTAGTCTAGTGATCTTTACCAATTTTAACTTACCATGTAGCTATTAAGTCCAAATTCACTGTTCCATAGCGTTCATCACCAATCCACGTAAAAATAAATAACAAGAACTCACGAATTTTAGATACTAATTTAACAACTAACAACTGACTTTCGCCGATCGAAAAAAATAAATAAATTACTCCTAAATTTTATTCGGAAAACTTAAGGTGACCTCTCCCCAATGGCAAAAATCACAATCCCAAAAATTCCCAATTAAATCAGAGTTGCAGAGACTTTAGACGCAGTTCATCTAACTCTAAAAGCCTTTCACAACGCTCCGCAAGCTTGTTTTCCACTCCATGTGACTCGGATCCAATCAGCCTCTCTTGATTCAACAGCTCTCCACGATGCTCCTTGCTCCAATCTTTGTTTTTTCAACGACTCTATTACCAACGGCTGAGGGTTTATGAGATAATACAATGCATGTGAGGATTTTTATGCAAAGAATTGAATCTAGAACATGTATGGCGAAAATCTCATGAAAATATTTTATTCTAATCTAGATTGATGGATATCCTTGAATAAGAAGAATAAACTCTCAAAAAGCTCTGGAGCACTCCATAAGGCTAATAATCTTGTGGATTAGCCTAATTGAAAAATAGAACATTTTCTTTGAAAGTTTTGGGAACTAGAAACCAATCAGAAAACAATTTGGGCAAAATTCCATGTGCCCACTCAAGCGGGCCACAGAGCAGATAAAAATCTTTGCAGACTGGACCCTTGCTTGAGCTCTCTGTTGAGCGCAAAGTGAGCAGAGCTTATGGTATCTCTGCAGGTTTATAAACTTGCATGCCCCAGTAGCCTATCAGGCGAGCTCTCAAGAGGACCTTAAAACCCTTGATTTTGAAAGCCATTTTTTTCCATTGAAAAACCATGAAAGTGTAAGGTACAAAAACAATTTGGTTTGATGCGCCTAAGAGAAAAACTGTATTCGAAAGCTAATGCAAATGCATATGCAAGATTATGCCTATACTTGTAACAAAGTGATGCCTTTGTATCAACCAAGAAGAGTTCTTCATTTTGAATGATATCGCACCAATGAACTGCACTCAACTACCTTACAAAATTCCCAATATTCAATGCATGGACACAAAATCGTTTTGTCCTATGGTAAGTGCAAATCTAACCTAAATCTATTGCAAGTGTTTTCACCGAAGTTTGTTTCCCCATTAACTAGCTTGGGTTTTTGGTTTATGGTCCAAAGAGTAAATTGGGAATTCAACTCTTGATGATTTCTGGATAAGCAGAGTCTCCTCAGCCCATGTGTTGGCGGATTATAAGTCAATCTTGTAATCCATTAGACCACAGAGAGACGTACTTCCATAGTGAGTGTTTGCTTTGTTGTCCAAAGGTGAAATATTTTTTAATTTTTTTTTCTTTAAAAAGCCCTATTAGAAAATCAAATCAAACCAAGCTTGTGTCCCAATCAGGTTGGGTCGACTACGTGAATCTTTTTTGCCATTGCACTCTGTCAAGGATTATATGCTAATGCCCCGTTAGAAATATATATATATTTTTGCCTTCACTATATTGTTGGAAAGTTGTATGTGGCTGGCTCCTATAAGACTGCTAAAGTGTCTTCTAAAACATGTTATGTTTCCCCAGAAAATAATGCTTGAAGAGGGTATCACTAGATCTGCTATACATAGCCTTATTGGGAGCTCAGAGAAAGAGAGAGAGTACGCTGTCCGGTTATTGCTGGAATTTTCAAAAGATAAAGCTTATTGTGCAAATATTGCTTCAGAGAAAGGGGCATTAGTTCTGCTTTCAAGCATGGCAGGAAATCTAGAGTGTCCTGCTCTGTCTAATTTGGCTGAAGAAGTTTTAAAGAGGATGGAGACAGTGGAGGATAATGTTCAGCATTTAGCAGCAGCAGGAAGATTTGAGCCTTTGCTCAGTCGTCTATGTGAAGGTATGTTTTATACCAATTGCTTATTACTTCTACTTATAATCAACTGTTGAAGTATTTGAAATTATCAATTGTAGTAAAAAAAAAGATAATAAGAAAAGAAAAAAAGGGAGAAGGAATGATAAATAAATCAATCGTTTGCATTCATCGCAAAAAATAATTGGCAATTCTGGTTGATGTGTAGATAATGCTTAATTTTCCTGATCATTTTTCGTTCTGGACTTCCAAGTGTTTTGTTTTGACATGCATACATGATACTGCATATCAAGCTCGTTGGTTTTTCTTTCTGCTAACTCAAATGTATAGCTTTCATGTCACTTTAGCAAATGACTAGGAGCCTGAAACCTTTTCCGATGCTATGGTGGAATGATATTAAAAAAAGCTATGTCGGACTTGTTTCATTTTCCCTCTGATAGAAGGGCAGAAAAGTCACAGTTCTTGGCCCATGCTGTAAATTCTGGACTTTCCAAGTGCTTAAAGTCTTGTAATAGCTTTCAAAAAAGAAAAGAAAAAAAAAAAGACTCAATATGGGAGAAGTTGGATGTGAATGGTGATTACTCATGTATCTGTAGGATTGAAGCTTTTGGTTGAGCTGAGGATTTCTGGTCAAAAGTGTGAATTAAATCTTTTATATATATATATTAATGGTTATTTTTTGTTAAGATGATTTTTTTATTTTCTGCTTTTATTTTGTTCTTTGGCCATCCAAAGAGACAAAAGCTATAAAAATTAAGACTAAATTATGAAACTCTTTATTTCCAAGATTAAAAGTTGCTAAGCTGTTGGTGTGTTAATAGGAGGAAGTTTTAATTATTAGAACTTCTTTCTCTGCATATATCAATGGTTCAATTATATATTGATTGTCTGTGATCTCTCTGGGAAACAGGTCCTGATGATGTTAAAATTGAGATGGCATCATTGGTGGGAAGGATGACCTTGACAAATAGCAGTAAAGAACAAATTGCTCGGCAAAGTTCTACAATACTAGTTAAACTGCTATCTAAGCGAGAAGGAAGTGCTCCAAGCTTGCAAGCTTTGTATAATCTGTCATCCTTGGATGACAATGCAACCATCCTCGTTGATTCAGCTGTGCTTCCAGCCCTTACAGATATTCTTTTTGAAAATCAAGACGCACCACCAGAGGTCAAAGCCTTGGCTGCATCAACAATTGCAAAAATAGTATCAAAACCTGGACACTGGGAATTAGCATCTGTGGACAAGCAAGGGAATTCAATGCAGTCGGAATCAATTGTCCGTAGTCTTTTGGGTCTCTTATCTCTTGCATGTCCTCAATGTCAGTTGGCTATTCTCCAGATTCTGTATGGAATGGCAACCTCTCCCCAGGCAGCAGGTAAATAAAAATTGGGTTGAATTTAGTAATATTTACATGCAAAATATGTACGGCCTGGTGAATAGAAAACCAAACCTTTTGGATGTGAACTTTTTCTGTCCTTTAACATTGATACTTAGAAGTTGCTTCTATCTTTATTATGACCACTAACGATTGAGCTCTGTTGTACATCCATTACAGCATTCTTACTGAATCTATACGTATTTTCCCTGCAGAATCAGTTACAGCTCATATAAAATCTGGAGATGGATTCAAAACCATAATAACATTTCTTGAACACCCGGAAGGTGAACACAGAATCTATGCTTTGAAGCTTGCAAGAGTCCTTTCTGAAAGGTTCGGTGAAGATCTTGCCAGCGAGCTTAAAACTTGTAACAAAATTTATTTGTTTAAAGATAAACTATCAGACAATCAATCTACAGATGGTGAGAGATCCGATGCTGCCTGCACACTCGCGAATCTTCCCCTTTCAGAAGATGACATAAAAACAGTCCTGGGAACTAGTTTTGTAAGATGGAATGTCGCTGCTCTCAAAGACCATTGCAGTTCCTCCAATGGTAGAGTTTCCAGACCCATATCGAGCATGGTCGAAGGGCTTCTAGGTCTTTTACTTCACTTTACAAGGAGCCCTGATCCACAAATTGTCAATCTCGTTAAGGAGCATCGCCTCATGACCATCTTCCGTGATACTCTTATCCTTAGTTCAAAGCCAAGAGTGAAACATCTAGCCACCCTTGGTTTGAAATACCTATCAGAATCTGGAATGGTACTTTTTGCTAATGGGGACTCGGAACCACAACCTCCACACGGGTTCTGCTCGTTGTTGGTGTTCATGTGTGGGAGGGCCTCTCCATCAATTTCCATGTGCCCGATACACAATTTCCCATGTGAAGAAGACAATCAATTTTGCTTGTTGAAGAGCCATTGCATCAAACCCTTGTCTGATCTTCTCTCAGATGAGGTCACCAATGTTCAAATCGCTGCAGTTGAAGCACTTTCCACCCTGCTTGTAGTAGATACTTCCAATGGTTTGAAGCGAGCAGTTGAGGAGCTCGATCAGCTAGGTGTAGTCGATGCTGGGATAAAGCTTTTCACAGAAGCTCGACCCGGGGAGCTTCAAGAGAAGGCAATTTGGATGGTGGAGAGAATGTTGAGAGTAGAAGGCCTTACCCAACCGTATGCGCTGAACCAGGCTTTGGTAAGGGCTTTGGTGGAAGCACTTAAGCATGGAAGTGCAGTAACAAAGAGGTATGCTCAAGAAGCTCTTACCAACTTGAAGCAGATTTCAGGGGTTAGTGGAAAGCCATCGAGTCAGAATCGGGGGCGAAGATAGTTAGCAGTTGTTGGCTGAGAAACAAAATTGTATTTACCCTTTATAGATGTTGTATCAGAAAATCACACGATCTTGTAGCTCTCAAGAACAGCATAACCTTGTATTATAGTCAGAGAAATAACATTTGTCTGTCACATAGGAATATTGGAAATATTGTATATTATCTTAGACAGCAATTGTTTGTTGAGTTTGGCAGAATCTGTGTTCAACAATTCAATGGTCCCGTTTGGTAGAGCTGTGGAAAAATAATTATAGATTATAGCTTAACAAATTATGACTTATGGTTGTGAACATAAGTTGTTAACCTGTTTGGTGTAGCTGTGGAATTATGGATTTAAGCAATAAGTTGTTAGTAGTGTTTGGTTAATAAGTTGTAAAATAATTTTTTACTGTATAATTATCCTTTCTGCTCTTAAACGATATAAAAATGATTATTTTGTCATTTTTTTCAGTTTTAATTTTAAAAAAAATATTTCATTAATAAAAGTTAATATAATTAGTATTAATTAATATAAAAATTGATACATTTGCTAAAAATATAATGGAAGTATTATTGTCACAATTATTTTTCATCATAAATTAATTAGTATCAATTAATACCAAAATTATTAATTAGTATCAATTAATGGCTTAATTAGTCTCAATTAATACTAAAATTATTAATTAGTATAAATTAATATTAATATTTAATTTTTATTAGTATCAATTAATATTAATAATCAACAATTGTTATTAATTAGTATCAATTAATAATTAATTCATTACAAAAGTATACAATATTAATTTATTAATAATTAATACCAATTAATATTGATTTTTTTAATTAATATTGATTTTTTTCTTTTTCTTCAGAAATATAATTTTTTTATTTTTTAATTAATATAAAAATATACAATATGAATTTATTAATAATTAATACCAATTAATATTGATTTTTTTCTTTTTCTTCAGAAATATACAATTTTTTATTTTTTGATTAATATAAAAATATACAATATGAATTTATTAATAATTAATACCAATTAATATTGATTTTTTTCTTTTTCTTTAGAAATATACATTTTTTTATTTTTTAATTAATATTAATATTAATCAATATTAATATTTGGGTATTGACGAGGGCATTTAAGTAATTTTAGCCCCCACACCAGCTGTGCGCTTAAGTAAAAAATTTAAGCACCCCCTAACCAGCTTTTGAGATAAGCTGAGAAATAGCTTGATTTAAGTTATAAGCTGGTTAACTTAAAGCTGCACCAAACACAATATTTTAACTTAAATTAAGCTAAAAGCTGAAATAAGCAGCTTATAAGTTCTACCAAACAGGCCTAATGCTGAATTGCATTGCATATTGCTTCTTGGAGACATGATTTGAACAAAATTCTCCATTTTTTTAAAAATCTCTTGAATTTATCTTGATATTTTTATCAAATGAACAAAATGTGAATATAACACAAATATTTAATTAGTTTTCAATTTTTATGAGTCGCTTCCGATTGATTCCTAAATTGATACTTATTTTAATATCACTTTCTTCTTTATCTAAGAACCCTACGACTGTGGTAGGGGATTAGATGGATTGAGATGTGGTTATGGTGGTAGTGGATTTGTAGAGTTAGCGTTTGAGAAGGAAGGCCATTAAGAACAAGGGCTAGAAAGAGGGTGACGGTGGAGGAAAGGAGTTGGAAGAGGGGCTTGGGGAGGAGGAGACACACTAGCCCTAATAATAATGAAATTGGCGTTAGTGAATGCGGTCTTTAAAGTTAGGGTTAGAGGTAAAATGTTAAAAATGAGGGTATTACGAGAATTAAAGTGTAATAAATTAAGAACAAGGTTAAAAAAAAAATTAAAATTAAATCAAAATCAAAATCAAAATCATGTATAATGTAAATTGAGTAATAGTGTGTGATGAGATAAATAAGAGTTTACAAATAGAATATCTCTTATTAAGGGTAAATTGGCCTTTTTCAATATTTTTATAAGAATCTCTAAAAGGGTTTTTTTTTTTTTTTTCCTTTTTTTTTGAGTTCAGAGAAAAATCGAATGTTACTATTCTAGTTTTTTTTTTTCCTTTTTTTTTTGAGTTCAGAGAAAAATTGAATGTTACTATTTTAGTGAAATAAAAAACACAATTTGAATTTAACTTATTTAGCCAAAAACTAAATTGTTTAAGACTATCTCCAATGGAGCTATCAAACTACTTGCCAAAGTTATAATTTGGCAAGAGTGACAAAAAGTGGGTCTCTAATGGCCTGCTATTCTACTTGGCAAAGATGGCAAATGCCATTTCTGTTCTCAAATTCAGCAAGTAAAATAGCAGCTGCCAAACATGCTACATTAGCAATTATGAACAAATTTGTGGCTCCAAATTCAGTGGAAAAAACAGAATTGAAACAGTAGAAAACCAAGTAATTTTCAGAATCAAACCAAAATTTGAAATATACAGCCAAATTTCATAATTTCACAATAAATCTCACAATTTCATAATCAATTTCTGAACAAATTTCAGGATTTCAAAATAAATATGAACAGATATCAGAATAAATTGTAGAATTTCAGAATCACACAAATCTCAAAATCAATTTCATAAACAAATTTAACCAATAAATACCTAGAATGGGTTTGAGGACTTGACTGGAATTGAGCATCATCTTCAGCTGACTGGACTAGTTGTGGAGATCATAGATTGGTGATCGGTTTTAGGACAAAGAGAGAGAGACAGATCGGAGAGTGTACTGGTTTGAGGACAGAGAGAGAGAGAGAGAGCTCGAAGAGGTTTGAGGACAGAGACAGAGAGATAGATCGGACAGTAGACAGATCGGAGACAAAGATACACAGAGAGAGACACACACACAGAGATCAGCGAGTATACTGGTTTGAGGAGAGAGAGAGGTCAGAGAGGTTTGAGGACAGAGAGAAAGAGACAGATCGGCGACTGTAAATAGTTCGGAGACAGATTGGTAGTGCTGATTGTTGAGCTCAAACACAGAGACACAAAGACACAGAGACAGTTCCATGATGGAGGATGAAAATAGAAGAGGAAAGTGAGAGTTAGAGTGAGCAGGAGAGTGAAGAGAGAGACACAGAGAAAGAGAAAGACAGAGAGAAGCTTCGTCTATAGAGGAATGTGAGAGAAGAGGAGAGTGAAAGTGAGAGTCAGAGAGAGAACCAGTGAAGACAACCGTTGCTTGTCTTGGAATTGAAAAGATGATTCTAGAGATATAATCTCAACCGTTGGTTGAGGGTAGGTGGAAGGTGGGAATTTGTTTTGGAATTGAAAAGAGTTGTTGTGCTCTGTTTGCTTCAAAAAAATATTTAAAATAAAATAAAATAAAAAATACAAACAACACCTATCTTCAAACTGTCATATCTAATTTTTTGGTGAGGTGAATTATATATATTTTTTTTTTCTAATTTTTCAATTTATTTTATTTGTCTAGTTGAAAATAATATATGTAAATAATTTTTTTACAAATAGTTAAAAAAGGTCACAAAAGAGAAAAAAATAAATAAAAATAAAATCACAAAAAGACCTATATCTAAATAACACCTACAAATTTAAAGGAAAAATTAGTTAAGAATTGTCAAAATAACAAGTGACCATTAGAATACCATTATTATAATTTAATAAAATAATACTATTCATTGTCAAATTATAATAATAACAATGATATTACAACAACAATCATTAAAGATGCCCTAAGAGAAAGGGAATCTAGTTATTGGTATCTCTTGATGATAACAACTGCCTACCACAACCAACGTTGCTAACATCCTGCCAGTTTCATGTTTGCTTTGTTTGTTTGATTTGTTTGGGTCTGTTTTGTTTTTTTTTTTTTTCCTTTGTTTGTGTTGGTTTTGGGTTTGTTTTGGTCTCTCTAGAGTCCATCTGTGCGATTTGTGAAGCTTATCCTCGTTGTGGTTGGGATCTATGATTTTTTCAGACATATTCTGTTGCCGAATTTTTATGATCGGCTCTGCTTTGCAGTACGAGCACGAGTACGAGACGTACGTCTAAATTTTTTCATAGTTTTCTTTCTTGATACTTACTGCCTTATTTTCACTTTATTTGGTGTAAGTTTTGGGTTGTTTGGACTCTTATTAGTGCCGATTGACTTTCTAATGGCATATTTCTTCTGATCAAAAAAAAAAAAAAGTCGCTCAACACCCTTATTAGTTTGACAATGACTTTTTTTAATTAGTTTTTTTAATTTTTTTAATTTGAGATTTTTTTAGCAGTTTGATATTTTTGTTTAGTTTTTTTGACTTTTTAACTTTGGAATGATATTATTTTTTTTTGTGTCTTTTTGTGATTTTTATCCTTTTGTTATTTTTTGACTTTTTTTTGTTCTTTACTAATTTTTTAGCCTCAACTCAAAAACCAAACAACACGTAAAGGTGCAAAAAAGATATATTAATTGAATTTTGATCATTGAAAAATGTTTAAAAAAAATTTATAATTCAATTTATAATGATCTAATGTAATTTGATAAGTATCAATTTTTTATTATTTAATTATGTATAATTTGTCATCTTTTTAATCACATATAATTTGCCATCTTTATCACATTATAATAAATACATTTATAGATATAAAATATAATGCATTAATAGATGTAAAATATAGGTCTCTACTGTTGGCAATTAACACATCAAACTACCCATATATTTAACACGGAAGATTCTAGTTTACACACCTATTGAAGATGTTCTAGGTAATCCCCTAGAGTGTGGGTGGTCAGTTAACAGTGTAATTTCTAATTTTAGTTGCAAAAATGATACATTTCTCTAATTTAGGAGCTCTAAAAGAACACTAATGATGTGAAAAATTAAAAAAAAAAAAAAAACAACTAAAGCCAAAACATCATATCACACAAGGCCTACATATCAATTAAAACTATTAGAGTTCTCAATTTTTTTCTTTTAGTTGAATGTAATGAATTTGGGAGACTGCCATTTTAGGGATTTATTATATTGGTATTGGCTGCCAGATTGGCACATGAACCAAAAAAGGCCTTGATTTGTTTTGATTTATTGATTCATTATGGAAAAATGTATTAAAATAAAAAAGAAAAATAATATAATCTAAATAAAGTTAATAATTTTTTTTCCTTTTCAAAAAGAGGTTGGTGCTCTAGAGACCGTCGCATGGTTATCCAAATTGAATGCAATTGAAAAATAAAATTTATTGATTTGTGTAGGTAATGGGAAACAATGGAGAAACATAACAATTAG